AACGTTATCAACAGGGTGGCCTGAAGGGGGCTTGGGGATTTTGGATCTCGGTACTCAGACCACAGCGCTAATGATACAATGGATTTAGAGGCTCGTGCTCTCACGGGACCTTCCTTGGTACGCCCTGGTGCTGGAACAGATCTTGACTGTCCCCACAAGGACCGCAAACCGTTGACCCCCTGACCTGGCTGGAAGACCGCTTCTGGTCCATACCATGACGCTCCTGCACTGACCAGACCTCGGGCCGCGGCGCAGTCCGCAACGACCTTGTCAAGGATGATTTGTGGATCCGCTGCTTGAGAGCTCGGCGCCAGCTCCCACTACCAGATAACGATTTTTGGATCTGCCCACGAGGCAAATAACGACTCTGCTGTGGAGAGGCAACAGCGAGCTTCCGAATGTTATCAACAGGGTGGCCTGGCTATCGGTAATCCAACCCAAAAGGGGCTCGGGGATTTTGGATCCTGGTAGTCAGACCATAGCGCTAATGGTACGACGGATTAAAAGGTCGGTGCTCATTCGGGACCTTCCTTGGTACGCCTTGGTGCTGGAACAGATCGCTTGACGGGCCCCACAAGCACTGCAAACCGTCGACCCCCCTGACCTGCCTGGAGGACCACTTCTGGTCCATACCACGACGCTCGTGCACTGACCGGATCTCGAGCCGGGGTGTAGTCCGCAGTTACCTTGCCAAGGACGACTTCTGGATCCGCTGCTTGAGAGCTTGGCGCCAGCTCCTGCCACCAGATAAACCTGGGCCAACCAGGTGGGAGGAGGTGGCTAGACAACCCCTGTATGGGAACAGAAATATCACGGACCGGAACGGAAGGATATACTGCAGTTCAGACTCCCCCTGGAGCAGTTGGGTCAAGAAAGACACTATTAGAGTTGAAGACATCTAGGATTCAGAAAACGGAGACTAGAAAATGGCGCCACAGATGAGGACGTGACTGAAACATTGTCACAACATAGAAAGGCACCTGGAACAGCTGATCTTTGCAATCCCCCGGGATTGGGTGCGCATTTCGCGCAAGGGACGAGGCTAGTGGAAGGGGACTGGGTAGCCGCTCCGGGAGACCCGGAGAGCGTAGGGAGCGTAGTAGTGGTATGCGCGGATGAAATGCTGGTTAATCTTTTCTACAGAGGAACAGGCAATGTGCTAACCAGATACACCCCGGGCATGATGAGATGGTGGCGGAATGCTGGTCTGCACAGGATCCAGGTGTTACGAAATAAGGAAGATTGGATAGCATATCGGTCAGAGACATGTCTTGCAGACCTCTCCTTTGACTGGCAGTGGCCCCCCGCGCGAAGAACCCGGGTGACTAAAAATGTAATGCTTTCCAGCTTGTTCGTGAAGGCCACGTACCGTTTACTAGGCCCCAGAGTAAACTTGAAGGACATTGTGAAGACCCGTTGGAGGTCTCATTTGAATGTGGGGGTCGACGCCATCCGCCCCATTCGATGGTTCACCCTCACGCAGTGCAGGCCTGCAAAGCTGGCCTCGCTGCAGTGGCAGATAGAACACCGTTGCCTCCCCACCAACGACTGGCTAATGGATTGCACATACCTGGAACGGAAAGGCCTGGCGCTCCCGTGGTGGAAGTTGTGTTACACGGTGTTCCCCTCCCGCAAGATCCGGGAAACAGTTGAACACATATTCTTGCAACGTTCGGGGGCTGTCCTTACATGGCGATGGTGGGACAGAATCTGGAACCTGTTGGACGCCGGATCTACCTGGCCATGGGACTGGAGGGGGATTCTATGCGAGACATGGACTTCCCCCTCAGGCAGTACCTTCGAAAACAACATGTTCAAGATAGGGAGGAGAGCGATTCTGTGGGTCATCTGGAGGAGGCGCTGAATACATGCCATGGAGGGGGTCCGCTTAGCCGGGGAGGAAATGATGGACATGGTCAGACAAGATGTACACCAAGATCTCATGGCACAATGGCAGAAAGTTGAAAATAAGTTGGATCTGTTTCAGGCAGAGAAAGATATAAAACAGAAAATTCAACAATTTTTAGGGGACTGGTTGGGCAGCGAGAATGGGGGCCGGATCACCTTCATCAAGTGGGATGGTGGTTGCACCCAGGAAGGTAATGAAGGTATCGAGGAAGGCAACCAGGGGAAGATCAAGAGAGACTATCACATCTGCTTCAGAGATTGGACAACAGTGGACCAAGGAATCCCGTTGCAGCCACCCTCGGACTTTCTTGACCCTTTCCCTCCCATCAGCTGACCATAGTGGACATGAAATGGTATGGAGCGGTGTGAGCAGGCCAGGAGCATCAATAAAGGTGTATCTCAAAAGGTAGGGGGAGGGAGGAACCAGCGTGTAGCAGCAGGTATCCGGCGCCAGGTCCAAGGTGAAGAGGTCCCCCTCCCCCCCCTCCCAACATCCTGCTCAGTGAATCCCTTGGACCCCAGGGTAATCAATGCTGGCAGGAATAGCCCGCATCTGTTTTTTTTTATATGCTCCGGTTCCCCCCCCCTCACAACATCCTGCTCAGTAAATCCCCTGGACCCCAGGGTAATGAATGCCGGCAGGAATATCCCGCATTTGTTTTTTCTCAACACAGCTAGCATTGGTGGGGGCATGCGGGTGGAACGACACTTGATAATGATGATAATAATAAAGTCCGCGAAGAATCCAAGGAGACCCCACCCGGCGGCGCAGCGCGACCGGGAGCGCTGCGCTGCCCGTACTCGGATTTCAGCCTGCGGGAGCGATGAACACTGCGGTGCAAGGCGGGAGCTGATGATGCGGACGGCGCGAGGATGAACCTTGGGTTGATGGGACTTCTGTCTTGTAATCAGGGTTGGCACTCAAGATATTCCGACGCAGTGCAGCGGGGAAAAGCGTGGTGAATGGACAGCAGAGCCTGCTATTGTTGGGTGACTTCTGTGGGGCCACGTGTATTTTCATCAGCAG